GCAGATCTCGAACCCGCGGGCTCAGGCAATCCACTCACCTCAGCCTCCCAAAGCACGGGATTACAGGCTGAGCCACCGAGCACAGCCTCGGTTTTCATTTATTCCATCAGCATCTAGGAAGTGGAGACTAAAAGAATGTTGGAGGAGGGGAGAAATTGGCAGAAGAGTCCAAGTTCTGCAAACCTTATTGAAGGAGAAAAAAAACCCACAGTGTATCACGAAAGCACTAGCTTGACAAAGTCTCTTCTGTGCTTTTCTTATTCCTCTCTCTTCATCCTTCATGTGGAAAACAGTTGGGCACCTCCTCAAAAAATTTAAAAAATGAATTACCATCTGATCCAGCAATTTCACTTCTGGGTATATATCCTAAGCAAACAAAACCAGTGCCTCAAAGAGATGTCTGCGCGCCTATGTTCCTTGTCTTGTTCACGACCGTTGAGCTCCTGTCAACCTACGTTCCCATCCATGGATGAGTAGATGAAGAAAATGCAACACAAGCCCTGGATGAAATGCCAATCGGCCTTCACAAAGAAGGAGATTCCGTCCTCTGCAACTGTGGGGGTGAGCCCAAAGGACTTTATGCTGAGTGAAATAAACCAAGCCTAGAAAGACAAACACTCCATGACCTCACTTGCATGCGGACTCCAAAGCACTCGCACTCCTAGCAGCAGAGAGTAGAGGGGTGGCTCCGGTGACTGGGCCTGAGAGACGGAGGAACCCCCATGGGGGGGACACAGTCTCCGACAGGAAAAATAGGGATGTCTTGAGATGTATCGCACGGCACGATGAATACGGTTGTTAATAATAGTGTGTTAGGGGGGCAGGAGGGTGGGGAAGGAAAAAAATGAAATAAATAATAAATAGTAGTGTGTTGGGCAACCCCTTCGGGTCTCCTCCTGCTGTGAGAGCTTTTCTGTCCTCTCAATAAATTCTGCTTTCAAAAAATAATAATATTAATAATAGTGTGTTGTACATTTGAAAATCACTAAGAGGACGTTCTCACCACAAAAAAATGAGTATTGGAGGTGATGGATGCGGTCATTCGCTTGATTGGTGGCACATTGTATTCATAAATCATAACTTCACTCTGGGATGACAGGCGCGGTGGCTCGGCCTGTCATCCCAGCACTTTGGAAGGCAAAGGTGAGAGCATTGCCTGAGCCCAGGGGTTCGAGACCCCATAAATATATACAACTATACATTGCCCATTTATAATAAAAATTGTAAAAAAATTATGTGTTCATGAATGCTTGCAGCTATATTATTCACAGTAGCCAGAAACTGAAAATCTCTCTATCTCTCTCTCTCTCTCCAGTCCCCCACAGTCATGCATGAAACACAGAAAGAGTTAAAATCCTCAGATGAACCTGAAGTCATTTGTAGAAGAGATTTAAAGTTCCTTTTTTCAAAAAAGTTCTTGTTCATTTATTAACTGACACGGTGCTAAAAACCAGTACTACAAAGTCAAAGAAGTCACAGTCCAAAGGACCACCATTTCCAGCAGTGGCAAGTTAGGCAATGACAAAGGAATTTGGAGCCACCCACTCACTAGAGACAGCTAAAAAAGCTGCGGAAAAATTGTTTTTAAAATGTCCTAAAAGCAGCAAAGCCTTCAGCCTTGTGCTGCATACAAAAACACGGAGACAGCTTTGAAACATAGTGAAGAACGAAGGAAGCAAGCTGCGAATCATATATCTGTGCTGCCATTTTTATATAGCTCAAAAACAGGAAAACTAAGCTACATCATTTAGTGATGGCTGCTTAGAAGAAAACCCACAAAGAGAAGCAAACGTATGCTGATTATCCAAGTCAGAGCCGCGGTTCACCTTGCCGGGAGGCTGGGGTTACTAGACCTTCTGTGGCATCAGGCCTTCCGGTGCTAGAAAAGTTCTGTTGTCTTGATCTGCCTGGTGTTTACACTGCATTTGCTATATATGACATCATTAAGTCATGGACCTACCATTTGATCTAGAAATTCCACTACTTGGTGTCTACCCAAAGGAAGAGAGGCCATTATTTTTAAAAAGTACACCTGCATATTTATAGCAGCACAATTCACAGTTTCAGAGATGTAGAATCAGCCTAAATGCCAATCAGCCCATCAGTGGATAATGAAAATGTGATATATATATATATATATATCTGTACACACACATATGTATAGTCATGCACACACACCATGGAATACTATTCAGTCATAAAAAAGAATGAAATAATGTCTTTTGCAGTAACTTGGATGGAATTGAAGACCGTCATCTTAAGTGAAGTAATGCAGGAAAGGAAAATCAAATATCGCATGTTCTCACAAGTGGAAGCTAAGTTAAGGGTCTGCAAAAGCATATTGGATAGTATAATGAACACTGCAGACTCAGAAGGGGAAAGATGAAAAAATCACCTGTCAGGTACAACATGCACTCAATAGGGTAACAGTCAGGGCATAAAGCTCAGACTCTCCACCACTAGACAAAGCAGTCATGTGGCTAAGCGTGGTGGTTCACACCTGAAATCCCAGCACCTGGGGAGGCCAAGGCAGAAGGATTGCTTGAGGCCAGGAGTTCAAGACCCACCTGGACTACTTACAGAGACCTCATCTCTACAAAAAAAATTAGCCAGACATGGTGGCATGCAGCTGTAGTCCCAGCTACTCAGAAGGCTGAGGTAGAAGGATTGCCTGAGCCCAGGAGGTTGAGGCTGCAATGAGCCATGACCATGCCACTGCACTCCAGCCTGAGCACCAGAATGAGACTTCCACTCAAAAAAAAGAAAACCAAAACAGAAAACGCCTACAGCATGCGTCCTTTCTCTGAGCAAGCTGTTTGCCAGTCTGAGCCTTGATATACCCGTCTCTAAAAGAAGGAGGTGGCTCCCACCGGGTCTGTGCCAGGTCTCTGGTAGCAGATGGCCGTGATAGGACCTGAGCTTTATGGGCAGGAGCCATATGCCCAGTGCAAAAGGGTCTCCTGGAAACTTCCCACAGGGTCACGTAAGGGGATCTTGGGCACCCACCCAGCCCTGGCTTCTCACCTTCCTGCAGTTCACTAACCCGCTCTCTTGCCCCACACTCGTTCCAACCACAGCAGTGCCCTATACACGTTGTTAGGGTCCAGAATAAACTCTCAGCAACATTTTGCCTCCACTAAGGTGCCTGGAGGGGGTCTGTGAAGGAGGAGGGAACACAGTGAGAGTCCACTACAGTGCTGGAATTTAATAATTGAATGTTGGCCGGACTCGGTGGCTCAGCCTGTAATCTCAGCGCTTTGGGAGGCCGAGGTGAGTGGATTGCCTGAGCCCGCGGGTTCGAGACCCGCCTGGGCAACTTGGCGAGACCTCATCTCTACAATAAATCAAAACTTAGCCGGGCGTGGTAGTGCGCACCTGTAATTCCGGTTACTCAGAAGGCTGAGGCAGAAGGATCGACGGAGCCCAGCAGGTCAAGGCTGTGGTGGCCGGGAGCGGCCACTGCACTCCAGTCTGGGCAATGGAGTGAGACTCCAACTCAAAAGTAAAATAAAATAAGATAAAATAATTGAATATTAATAACAATCATGAGTACCTAGTGTATACCAGCATGAATGCACAGTATTTTATAAGCTTTATCTCATTTCATCTTCAAAAATGTAAGACCCAGCCAGGCTCGGTGGCTCAGCCCGTCATCCCAGCACTTTGGGAGGCGACGAGGCGAGTGGATGGCCTGAGCCCACGGGTTCGAGACCAGCCTGGGCAACTTGGCGAGACCTCATCTCTACAAAAAAAAGAGAAAATAGCCAGGTCTGGTAGCACACACCTGTAGTTCCAGCTATTTGCAAGGCTGAGATGGAAGGATCGTGGAGCCCAGCAGGTTGACACTGGGGTGGCCATGAGTGTGCCGCTGCACCCCAGTCTGGGCGAAGGAGTGAGACTCCAACTCATAAATAAATAAATAAATAAAATAAGACACTTTTTGGGAAGAACCCAAGAGTCAGAGATGCCCATGAACATATCTAAGGGTCTAAGCCTGCACAGCAGAGCATAACCAGTAACACAGCGCCCTGCTGCCTGCCAGGCTGTACACTCAGAGCCCTGCGGCCATGGCCACCTGGGTGTGAGCCCGCCTTAAGGGGCAGAATCAAACCAAAGTCTGTGTCTTCTCCACTCCTGGACACCCATTACTGTCCCCAAGGAGGCCAGGCCTGACGACCTCGCCCCAGGGCTGGGTCTTTGCCGCTCCAGGGGAGAACCCTCTGGCTTCACCCCTGACACCGAGCACCCAACCTTGAACACATCACCGCATCGGCTCTTCTTGTGGGAGGCCAGGGGAGAGTTCCGGCCCATCAACTTTCAAAAGGGAGCTTCTCCCAGAGCCTTCAAAGTGCCCTGACCCTAGCCAACATTTCATCTCGCCCATTAGGAAAACAAAGTCCATCCGTGAACGTCCCTAGAAGCTCTTTCAGAGCGCCGGCCTTAGCCGGCCACCAGAAAAGGAGACAGTCCCATCCCCATCACTTCTGAGCCTTCTCATTCTGGCCAAAAGCCGACCCCTTGAGACCCTTCGAGTCTTGGAACACGGCAAGAGGTTCTTGCGTACATCCTTTCTGGTCTTAAATTAAGCCTGTTCCGTGACATCCCTTCTCTGGGACCCTGAGCGCTCACTGGGACCCCAGAGGAAAGGGGAAAGCAGACACTTTCGCTGCCATTCGCATACCAGGATACATCTGAAGTGAGAAGGAAAGCATTCAGGCCAGAGCACGAGGAACCTGGTCTCTGCTCCTCTTCTGCCGCTAGGAAACATTTCCGCCTCAGCTGAGCCCCGTTTCCTGCCATTTGCAGAAACGGAGGCAGCACTGACTGGCCCAGGGCCTCCTCTTCCTGGAAGCCTGCCGAAGCTTGTGACCTCCTCAGTCTTCCTCTCCAGGAAGAATGAAGCCAGTGCCCCGCCCCGGCCAGCCCAGCCCAGCTCTATAAAGCAGCCTGCCTCCCAGGCGGCGGATCTGGCAAGCCCCAGCTCTCTGCCCTCCCCAGCCATGAGCCTCCGTCTTTGCGGGCTACTCTTCCTCCTGGCGAGCCTAGTGCCTTCAGGTAAGGTGGGGGTGGGGTCTCCCAGGGCCTGAGATCCTTAGAAAAAGCCCCCTATGGGGATAAGCCTGGCCCGGGGGACACACTAGCATCAGATGGGCCAGCAGGCTAGGGATGCGGGTGAGTGGACTTCAGCCTCTGCTCCCGGCTTGTCTTGTTGCTCCAGCTTGGAGTCTGCCAAAGCCTGAGAGAGGGGCATGAATTTTGTGGTCCCCATATCCTGTCCGGCCACCCAGACTCCCACTTCCTCTCTCACTCCTCGGGTTAGCCTTCGATGCAGCCAACTCGCTCAGACGTGGTCAGGGCTGGGAGAATGGGGTCCGGGATTTGGATCACAAAAGAGTCAGCTGGCCCCCAGGAAGTGAGGGCAGGCCTGGGATTTCTCCCCGTCTTGTGAAGACTGGTTTTTCTTTGCTGTGGTTTGATTTCCTTCCTTCAGGAATCTGCATATTTGGAAACGATGGTGTGGAAGTTCGAACCTGCATTAAGCTCGAAGGCCTGTGTTTCTTCGGGTGTCCAATGGGATGGAAGTGGGTGGCATACTGCCACAACGTCTTGTCTTGTTGTATAAGACTCACAGCTTCTATACCGCCCCAATCCAGAGAACCATGGGAAGATAAACGTGTTGAGACTGATAAAATGAAAAAAGTGAATAGCTCAAAGACCTAAATTCCTGATCTGTGTGTAAGGATCTGAGAGCCTGTATGTGACCCGTGGGCAGTGGATAGGGTCTAGACTCTGACAACTTAGTGGCAAAAATTCCAGAAGGATTTGATAAAGAGGACACTGCAGGGATTAGCAGTAGTGGGAAACTGCCAGGGGGGGGGGGTGGGATTGGCAGTTGAGGGAAACTGCCAGGGAACAGAGGGCAACACCTCATCAACAAGGGTACCTGCATAATCAGCATTTGTATACCTAACCCTGAATTGTACCCCACTTCTTTAAAATTAAAAAATTTCAAAAAAGAGGTCACTGCAGTGAAAGATGTTCCCTATCCTTTTTTCCGACCAGCCATCTCCAATCATTAATTCCTCTCTCGAGTTCAAATTCAGCTTATTGATACAAGTCCACAGGCCCCAGCAATCACAAGTTCTGAGGATTAAACAACAGTTCACTCTGTGCAAGTTGCTCTCTTAAGTAGTTTACATGTATTAGCTCACAATACAACCTTCGGTTCCTGCCATGCTGCAGATGAAGAATCCTTTCCAAGGTCACACAACTAGCAAGAGTGAGTTAGTACTGGGTTTGAACCCAGGCAGTCTGGAGCTGGTATCTTGACCGCCAAACTGCACCACTCCTCAAGAAATCTAGTTACATGGTGGTTCTGATGAGGAGTCGAGAACCCAGCTAGGCCCCCGGAACCAGCAAGCCCCTCGAAACTCGTCCTAGGCCTCGACGCGATCATACTGCTGCTTGCCAGGTCGCAGCTGTGGTTTTCCTGAGTCAAGATCCCACACCTGGAAGACTGCTGCTGTCACCGCGGTGGTGAAGTGACGGGCCATGCACACCCACGCCACACCCACGGTTCCAGCCACACTTCCACCCACTGCAGGGCTCCCACCCAAGGGCAGAGACCTCCGGTCTGCATCAAGACCCTAATCAGCCCCTGCTAGGAAGGAGAAGGGCTGCTGAATTTCAGAGCCTCCCTTCTCTAAAGGGTCCTGGAGGGCACGCCCTGAGCCCCTGCACCGATGAGCAGGGGTGACCCGTCTGCACGGAGCTCCCCCGATCTCTAATCTCCCAAATTCCAGCAGTAAAAGAAAACCAGAGACCCTCGGGAGCCCACAAGGCTAGCTCCCAGGGAGTGTGCGTTGGCTAGTCCTGTGGGCAGTGGCCAGAGTGGTTCTGTGGTGTCAGGCTACCTGGTCGCTCATTTCAGCCCTCCCTCTTGCCCCCAAAACGACAAGGGGGCAAAAGCTCATGAAATAATATAAATGCAAGAAAATTAACATAAAAATATAAAATAAAAGAGAAAACTGGAGGGAGGGAAAAAAACTGTTATCAGATTTCAAAAGGGTCCACAAACTCAAAAAGGACTAAAACTCCCAAACCTTTTCTTGTCACGCTGACCTGGGACAGACCCAGCTCTGACATTGACAATGGGATGTGGAATCGACACAATTATTCTCAGCCAAGTCCAGCGAGCAATGGAATACTCCAAATTACTTGTGCTGAAAACCTGCACATGAAACAAATAAGGGAACTCAATCATCACACACGTGTTGGCCTTGCGGCCCATTCCGCGTGGTCACGGAGACAGTGACCAGTGCCTCCAAGGTGGCCACAGGTGCCATATCTCCCCACATCCCCACATCCCATGACTTTTTTTTTTAATTTTAGATTCAGGAGGGACATGCACAGGTCAGTTACATGGTATATTGCATGACGGTGAGACTTGGACTTCTACTGAGCCTGTCATTCAAACGGTGAGCCTGGTACCCAATAGGTGGTTTTTTCAGCCCTTGACCCCCCTCCACCCTTCCTCTTTGTAGGAGTCTCCAGTGTCTGTTGTTGCCATCTGTGTGTACCCAGTGTTTGGCTCCCACTTATAAGTGAGAACCTGCAGTATTTGGTTTTCTGTTTCTGCACTGATTCGCTTAGAATGACAGTCTCCAGCTGTAACCATGTGGCTGCAAAGGACAGGGCTGTGTTCTTTTTTATGGCTGCGAGGTCCCTGAATTAATCTTGACCAACCAGACCTCTGTCCCCAGAAATTTCAGTAAACGGCATCGCCGAATGAATGCCACTGGAGTATCAGTTTGGCATAGTGCTGTAGACTGTGTCAGGGTCGCAATCTGGCAGCCCTTCGGAGCCTCCTGGGTACAGGGCCATATTCCAAGCCTGTTCTAAGAGACGTAGGTATCTTCCTGGCATATTCCCTTTATGCTTAAAACATCCAGAGTTGATGTCTGTTCCTTGAAACCAAGAAATCTGAATGATGCTGAGAACCCGAACGAGGCCTCACCATGTGTTTGTATTAGGATCCAGTGAGGTAATGTACAAGATGACGTGTCTAACAGGCTTGGCCCTGGGTCATCTGGCGTAAAGGGCCTGGTTTTGTGTTAACTGGGTTCCAGGATGGAATCAGAACAGGCCTCCACACTAATCAACCCCTTCCCCCAACCCCACCTTACTATAAAATTCACTTTCCGAAAACAAATGTGGAAGTTTCCAAGTTTTCCTGAGTGTCATCACAAATTGCCACAAACTAGGTGGCCTAAAACTACAGCGATGCATTCTCTCACAGTTCTAGAAGCAAGAAATCCAAAATCAAAATGCTATCAAGGTAATGCTCCCTCCAAGAGTTCCAAAGAAGACTTCAGGCCAGGCGTGGTGGCTCATGCCTGTAATCCCAGCACTTTAGGAGGCCGAGGCAGGAGGATCACATGAGCTCAGGAGCTTGAAGCCAGCCTGGGTGACATAACAAGACCTTGTCTCTACCAAAAAAATCCCAAAATGAGTCAGACACGGTGGTGCATACCTGTAGTCCCAACCACTCTGGAGGTTGAGGCAGAAGGATCATCTGAGCCCAGGAGGTCAAGACTGCAAAGCAGTGAGCTGCAATCACACCACTGCACTCCGACCTGGGCAACAGAGTGAGACCCTCAACTCAAAAAACAAAAAAAGGAAGAAGAATCCTTTCTCGCCTCTTCCTAGCACCTACTGGTTGCTGCTGGCAATCTTTCGTATTCCTTAGTTTCCAGCTACACCACTCCAACCTCTGCCCCAATGTCACAGCACCTTCTTCCCTCTCCATGTGTGTTTCTGTGTCCTCACATGGCCTTCTTATAACAACAGCAACAGCAACAACGACAGCCGGGTGCAATAGCTGACACACGTAATCCCAGCACTTCAGGAGACTGAGACAAGCGGAATTCAACACCAGCCTGGACAGCGTAGTGAGACCTCATCACTCCAAAACATCCACACGTTAGCCGGCCGTGACAGGGCACACCGTAGGCCTAGCTCCGGGGGAGGCTGAGGCGGGAGGATCCCCTGAGCGCAGGAGACTGAGGCTGCCGCGGCGTGAAGGTGCCCCTGCGCTGCAGCCTCCAACCCAGAAAGAGACGGAGAGAGAAAGGGGAAAGGACGCACTGCGGGGCTGAAGGAAGCCAGTCCGTCGGAGGGCATCGCCTGGCATGGCTCCTCCCCCAGCTCCTGCGGCTCTGCTCGCCTGCACCAACGGCCACGTCCTCCTGCCCCTCCCGTCTCCCCCACCCCACAACCCGGCCCCCTTCCTCGGTGGGTTTTGCATAGGGCGGCCCTTACGGATCACGGGGCAGGCGCTGGCCATCCTGCTGCCTGCGCGGCCTCGGGGGGTCCGCCCGGGGGCTCCGGAGGGGGCGGAGAGAGCCCCGGGCAGAGCCCCCTTGTCTTTTCTGAAGTCCGGCCACCGCTTCCCTCGGAGGCCCTTCCTGGAGGGACAAGGCCAGCGTTCAACAGCGAGCCAAGCGGACGCGGTTCCCGCTGGGGCTGGGGCTGGGGAGGGGAAGCGCCAGAGCTCGCCGGCGCCCCACGCGTGTCGGCCTCGCACGAGTGGCCGCGCCCTTTGTGACCCGCCCTGCGCCACGGTCGGAGGGAAAAGGCCGGCCGGGGCGGCGGCTGGCACCGTCATCCCCGCTCCGCGCACCCGGCATCCCCGCTCCTTGGGGGGCGAGGCTGGCGGATCACTGGAGGCCAGGAGTTCCTCGAAACCAGCCTGGGCAGCACAGGGAGACCTGTCTCGACAAAAAAAGTCCAAAACTTAGCTGGGTGTGATGGCACGTGCTTGTCGTTCCAACTGCTTGGGAGACTGAGGCAGGAGGATCGCGTGAGCCTAGGAGTTGGAGGCTGCAGGACGCTGAGGCCGCGCCACTGTACTCCAGCCTGGGTGACAGCGTGAGACCCTGACTCTTTAAAAAAACGTAAAAAGTATTACTCCCCGCCATATTCTTATGACTCTCCTACAATTTATACCCAAGATAATAAGACAAAATAAAAAAGCAAAGTGGACTAACAAAGCCCAAGCCCCCCTGTGCTATCCTTTCTCTACAAGACCGTCCACTCTCCAAAATACTCTGTAGCTTGTGTAACAAATCGCAACACTTTACAGGCGAGACCTCATCTCTACGATAAATCAAAAAATTAGCCGGGTGTGGTAGTGCACGCCGGTAGTTCCAGCTACGTGGAAGACTGAGACAAAAGGATCGCCTGAGGCCAGCAGGTCGAGGCTGCAGTGGCCGTGAGCGTGCCACTGCCCTCCAGCCTGGGCGACAGAGTGAGACTCTGACTCAAAAATAAATAAGTAAAACCGACACTGGTACTCAGAGGTTCGTCGCAGCACAGTTCGCAATAGCAAAGATGTGACATCAACCTAAATGCCCATCAACAGATGGATAACGAAAACATGGTGTACATACCCCACGGAAGGCTGTTCAGCCATCAAAAAGAATGAAATGGTGTCTTTTGCAGCAAGTTGGATGGAATCGGAGCACATCACCCTACGTGAACTAACGCAGGAACAGAAAACCAAACGCCCCATGATCTCACAAGCGGGAACGAAACTCGGGATCTGCAAAGACGTGGAGAATGTCATGTTGGACACTGGAGACTCCGAAGGGGGTGGGGGACGGGGTGAAGGGACGAAAAGTCACCTTTCAGGTACAACGTGCACAGGCGGTAGGTACATA